AGGCAGACTCCCTGCTGAGCAGGGAACCCAATGGTCCAATCCCAGGACCCCGTGATCATGACCTGAGTCCCCTAGGTGTACAAAACTTCTATTTCATTAATACAGATGTTCTTCTTACAGGAAAAGCTGAATCTCAGTTGTATCCATAGTCCTGTCGTTAATGAACTTATGAGAGGAATCCGTTCCCAGATGGATGGATTAATCCCTGGTGTAGAACCACGTGAAATGGCAGCTATGTGTCTTGGATTGGCACACAGGTGAGATTTACTGGAGAAGAAAGTCCACTTATTCCTGTTTAGTAAGCAGTTGCGTTGCACTGGTTTAAGCATATTAAAATACTAATTTAATTCTCAGTAATCTTTTGAAGAAGGTAGTAGTGGTATCCTCATTTTATAGATGAATCTGATGCCCAAAATCAGTTCACCTGGTAAGTAATGAAGCCTGGATTGGAGCCCAGGGAGACTCATCATAGACATTCTCTGTCCTTCAAGTGTTGGGCCCCACAACTCTTGGGCTTTCTCTTTTCCCTAATCTCTAACTGAATCATTTGGTATTCCTCCATCTTTTCATCTCCCCAAATCTTCTCATCTGCTGTGGTCTTCTTCTGTCTGTATCTGTTGTTTTATTCCGATTTGTATTGACTTTTTATAGTAAGGTGAAGAGAAGCACATTGACCTATTGTGTTTAATCTGAGGTCCATCAGAACCGCATTTCTGCTGAGCTGTGATATGTTCTGAAAAGCTTGGCATTCTGTGAAATTGCACTAAAATAACAGGTTTTTTTTTTTTTTTTTTTTTTTTGTAAGATTTTATTTAGTTATTTGACAGAGGGGGCTGGGGAGCAGGCCCCCTGCTGAGCAGAGAGCCGGATGCAGGGCTCGATCCCAGGACCCTGAGATCATGACCTGAGCCGAAGGCAGAGGCTTAACCCACTGAGCCACCCAGGTGCCCCAATAACAGGGTTTTTAAGTGAGGAAAAATAGGGTTCAAGGTGGGCTTCTGGGAACTTATGTGACATTATAACTGGAGCACTGTCAAAACTAGCGCTACGTACTAATGTAGTTAGAAAGATGTGTACATTTATGTTAAAGGAATAACAAAACAAGCAGAGGTCTGTACCTTTGGACAAAAAATAGCATCAGTTAACAGAAGGGTTAAAGCTGCTGAGTTACAAAGATGAGCAAAATACATGAAAATCAATAACTTTGTAATAAGCATTTTTAAGAGCACACAAGCAGCTAAGCTGAGTCAAGATTCAAGCTTGTGATTAATTGACATTGTATAACAGTAGTGTTCTCATTCAAGGGCAGTTAAATATCACTTAAGAGGACATTTGGTGATGTCTAGAGACATTTTTGGCTGTTACAGGTGGGGTCAGATCTCTACTAACATAATGGGTAGAGGACAAGAGTATTACTAAACATCCACAATTCACAGAATAGGCCCCTACAACAAAGAATTATCAGGCCTACATTGTTAACAGTGCCAAGATTAGGAAAACCTTATGTATAATATTGTTCCTCCATATCCTTCTGTTTTCAGGTGTTAATGCTACACATTTATTTACCTGCTGGTATCCTTGAAACCCTGTAAACATCGTATATGGACCAATGTGATTTGTACTACACAGCATTATCCTGTTTGTCTTTCACAAATTAATTCATATTTCAGGAACATGGGTTATAGCAGGACGTATATTCTCTTTTTTAAGATTTTATTTCAGAGAGCAAGTTTGAGTGAGGGGGAGGGGCAGAGGGAGAAGCAGAGTCCCTGTGGAGCAGAGAGCCCTATGTGGGGCTAGATCCAGAGACCTGGGATTATGACCTGAGCCAAAGGCAGATGCCCAACCAACTGAGCCACCCAGACGTCCTTGTATTTTCTTTTTAAGTGTGTATTTCCTAGTTTGCACATTGTATTCTCATTCATCTGGTTTTCCTATGTTGGGAAAATTAATGTAGCTCTAAGGAGAAGGATGTGGGGGGTTTTTTGTGGTTTTTTTTTTGTTGTTGTTATTTTGTTTTTGACAGACTCAGAGAGGGAACACGAGCAGGGGAAGTGGGAGAGGGAGAAGCAGTCTTCCTGCTGAGCAGGGAGCCCGGTGCAAGGCTTAATTCCAGGACCCCCGGGATCATGACCTGAGCTGAAAGCAGATGCTTAAAGACTGAGCTACCCAGGTGCCCCTAGGGATTTGGGTTTTTAAAAAGTTAAAAAATATATAAATAAAGAGTTTTTTAAGATGTTAATTAAACTAATTTTGGAGGCGCCTGGGTGGCTCCGTGGGTTAAAGCCTCTGTGTTCGGCTCAGGTCATGATCCCAGGGTCCTGGGATCGAGCCCCACATCGGACTTTCCACTCGGTGGGAGCCTGCTTCCCTTCTTCCTCTCTCTCTGCCTGCCTCTCTGCCTACTTGTGATCTGTGTCTGTCAAATAAACAAATAAATAATAAACAAATAAACTCATTTCGTAGATGCTGTCAGTAATTTTTTATTTTTCCCCTTTATCCCCAGCTTGTCCCGATACAGATTGAAATTCAGTGCTGATAAAGTGGACACCATGATTGTTCAGGCAATTTGTAAGTATAGTGCATATGATATCTGATCCTTATAACTTTTTTGTGCTGTTAAAACTGTCTCTTAGGGGCACCTGGGTGGCTCAGTGGGTTAAAGCCTCTGCCTTCAGCTCAGGTCATGATCCCAGGGTCCTGGGATCGAGCCCCACATCGGGCTCTCTGCTAGGCGGGGAGCCTGCTTCCCTTCCTCTCTCTCTCTGCCTACTTGTGATCTCTCTCTCTGTCAAATAAATAAACAAAATCTTTAAAAAAAAAAAAAAACCTGTCTCTTATAATTTTATCAGTTGAGGAAGGAAAAGGAGGTTGATTAGAATTGTTAATAGTGAAGTAAATAACTAGAAAATGCAGAATAGAAAAGGCAAGCCACCCGTAATTTGACTAGTTGGAGATAATGTGAATTAACACTAGTGATGTTAACAGATTTGTTTCCCATGAGGCAGATCGGTACGTGGGATCTATTGCTTTGTGCTTTTTACACTTGGCTTTATAGTAGGTCAGTCCTATGCCATTAAGTGTATTTTGGAAACCTCAAATCCTTGTTTCCACTTTTAAAAATCCCTTTAGATGGCAATTACATTTCTGGATATGTGCTCCAAAGAACCGAAAGCAGGTACTCACAGATAGATATGCACCTGTGTCTGTAGCAGCGTTATTCACAATAGCCAAAAAATGCAAACCACCTAAATACCCATAACAGATGAATAGATAAACAGAATGGGGCCGATTCACACAATGGATAATTTTTATTTTTACTTTTTTAAAAAAAAACATTTATTCTTAAGTCAGAGAGTGTAAGCATAAGCAGGGGGAGTGGCAGGCCGAAGGAGAAGCAGGCTCCCTGCTGAGCAAGGAGTCCTATGTGGGACTTGATCCCAAGACCCTAGGATCATGACCTGAGCCAAAGGCAGCTGCTTAAACTGCTGAGCCACCCAGGCATCCCAGATAATAACTATTTTTAAACCATAAAAAGGTTTACAACATGGATGAATTTTGAAAATGTGCTGAGAAATAAGCCATACAAAAAAGACAACTGTTGTGTGATTCCACTTATGAGGTACCTAGAACAGGCAAATTGATAAAAGACCGAAAGTAGAAGAGATGACCAAGAGATGGGGGAAGATGGGGGATGAGGTGTTACTATTGAATGGGTGCAGAGTTTCCATGTGGATGCTGAAAGAGTTCTGGAAATGGGTAGTGGGTGATTGTTAAATAACATTGTGAATGTGCTTGATACCACTGAAACCTGCAGTTGAAAATGGTTAAAATGATAAGTTCTATGTATATTTTAGTTTTATAAAGCCATTTTATGTTCCTCTTTTCTCTTTCATTTTAATATACTGCAGCCTTGTTAGATGACTTAGATAAAGAACTAAACAACTATATCATGCGGTGTAGAGAATGGTATGGCTGGCATTTCCCTGAATTAGGAAAAATTATTTCGGATAATCTGACATACTGCAAGTGTTTACAGAAAGTCGGTGAGTAACTATCCTTTAAGGCATTGAAAATAACAATTTATTTGCATCCCAAAACATGAGTTGTAACATTTTTTCTTAACAAGCTTCCCAGAGTTCCTTATGCCTTGTGTGTATTTTGGGAGTATAGTCAAATTAGGGTCTATTAGAATTCAGAGACCATTAACTTGAACTTTGACTTCAGTGGCGGGTACAGCAAGAGATCATGGTTCTCATTTGGTTTTTCTTAAAATGGCTTCTTAACGTGGAATGTATCTCATAGGGAATTTAATAGGGGCAACTGAGACTTGGAATATCCTGCATATGTTATAACACTAAAGTTGGTGCTGCTCTCTATACTGTTAGTGTTTGTATTCCATACCAGTGTACAGTAATATTAGTAGAAAAACCTGAATATTGTTAATAAATAGAATTTACCAGGCTTATATTGCTGCCCCAAGAATTCATGGCCCTGGATTTAATAAAACCTTAGCTATAAATTGTCTGTTATAGTGTTATTAGTTCTATTGTATGGGGTATTTTGTTTTTATTCTAATTTATATCTTTTTAGAGGGAGATGATGGGGAGAGATTTTAATCTCTAAAAATCAAGCATTCCATAAGGAAAATTAGTAGGTCAAACTTGTTCACTTTTTGTTTTGTTTAGGAACCTTTTTCATTGGCTTACCTCTACTTTTTTTTATTTGACTATTTGGATTTTATATAATTTGTTGAAGAGTGATTCTCCCTCATCCTCTGCAAACATTCCATAGGCGATAGGAAGAATTATGCCTCAGCCAAACTTTCTGAACTACTGCCAGAGGAAGTTGAAGCAGAAGTGAAAGCAGCTGCAGAGATATCAATGGGAACAGAGGTTTCAGAAGAAGATATTTGCAATATTCTGCATCTCTGCACTCAGGTAAACTGTACACATGGGGAAACTGGTTGTGGTGGGACCGGCTATGTAATGATAACTTTCTGATGGCGATGATGATTTTTAAACTTGATCCACCTGATAAATATGAGGGTGTTCAGTCACTACCTCATCTGATGCCATCTTGATTTCTATACTTTAGGGGGGAAATACATACTGAAGTAAGTTGAAAGAAGATTATCTAATTTATTTATACTGGCATTGTCTGGATAATGAATTATGAATCCCTTAAGGGAACAGAAATACAGCTTGAGTTATTTAATTCCAGCCTTTATGTTTGTAGCCTGGAATGCTTCTCCCCGCCCCCACGCCCCATTTGGAGATCACTGAAGAAGAATAACAAAAAGGAGGCTGGCCCAGTCAGTAGAGCATGTGACTCTTGATCTTGGGGTTGTAAGTTCAAGCCCCATGTTGGGTGTAAAGATTACTTAATAAAATCTTTAAAAAAAAGAATCACACACGCAAAAAAGAATCACAGAGAGGATGACATAATGTCTAGCCCTTAGAGTTTTTAAAAATAACAGTAATATTGACTGGTATTTTTAAGCAGTATATTAGGTTGTTTGCATTTATTATCTCATAAAATTTATGAAAATGGGAAGCTGAGAGAAAGGATGCTTTGTTTTCCCAGGATTACGCGGCTTATCTAGGACAGTTTAGGGCTCCAGTGTTTTCAGACATGTGGTTTTTATGTGATTTTTACACAAGTCATTTATGGTATATTCATCTTGTTCCTTATACTAGGTAATTGAAATCTCAGAATATAGAACCCAGCTCTATGAATATCTACAAAATCGAATGATGGCCATTGCACCAAATGTTACAGTCATGGTTGGGGAATTAGTGGGAGCACGGCTCATTGCTCATGCAGGTGATGATTTTAATGTAACCTATAAATAGGGATACCTAGAGTAGATTGTTTTCTACCTAGGATTATTTTTTCATCTTCAAATTACATTTATTAGAAATTATAGGTAATAAATATAAGTAGATGGTATATGGGAGAGGACTAAGGACCAAGTAGGTGTTCAGTGATGATTCTGATTCCTGTGCCTGATTTCCTTTTGGATAATGAAGGCATCTTCAGTCACTACCTCTTCTGAGACACTTGTGGTCCATTGTCAGAAGTTTATTACCATTAGTGAGAATAATCAGATGAAAGCAGGAGAATGAAATCAGTTAATATTTCCTAATACTAAAAATTTAACCAGATTAGGGGCTCAGTTGGTTAAGTGCTTGACTCTTAATTTTGGCTCAGGTCGGAGCCTGCTCAAGATTCTCTCTCTCCCTTTCTGCCGTCCCCCCTGCACACACACCCCTCTAAAACAAAACAAAACAAAAAAATCATCAGATTAAATAGCAGTAGTTCTCACAACAGGTGATACATACCCTTGATCAAGAATCTGGTTCACTGCTGAATTTGTTATTTTAATGTATTCGACATGCAAAATATTTTTAATGAATTTATAATAAGACCTCATGTATGTATCTGGTGATGTTACAAAGAAGGTATGCTATAAAATATACTGTATAATTGAATATTAGCAAATAGAGTGAAATACTACTATATTATTGGAGTTAATCATTAAAATCTATCACAGAAGATCATAAAATATCCTCTATATCAAAGTATCTAAACTAGAATAGGGCCCTGTAACAACAACATTAATCCGACAGGCCATTCAGATGCCCTCAGCTGTGAGGCTGGGATTGTCTGGTTGGTTTTGTTTTCTGCATCCAAATTTTCGTAGCCTTAACTACATTTCGGGGGTACGAGATGCAGGGCTTAACAGAAGTCTGTTGAATTTTAAATAGGTATCTAGTGGTTGGGCATTAATACTGGGGGTCTGTTCTGACAAAATCTATGCGATAAATCTAACAAAGCAGCAACTTTTTATACCTGATTAGTATGCTTCTATCTCCTCATCCATTTCTTAACAGATAAGAGTGTGAGAAAGTTAATGCATAGTGATACTGTTGAGATGTCCTATGAGTGTCCCTCTGTTTGTATATTTTTTTCATATCTAAAGTAGAATATTTGATGTCTAAAGGCCTCCTCGGTGGAATGCTAATGGAATACAGAATAGTATAATACCATCTCTGGGGCAAATAAGTATATAATTGAAGTAATAAGCTTAACCTTCAGTTCGTCCTCAGTGTTCACTGTAAGCCTCTGCTTACGCTGCTCCATGAATGAACCACAAAAACTGAGGCTTTTTAGGGAATCTCAGACTGGAATCTGTATTGTGTCAGATTTTTATTTACTCGGTGCCTGTAATACTAAGATTATATGTCTTACACTTAATACATGGAACTTTTAAGTACTTGGAATTGCATTCCTTTTAAATACTTCTTTTTTTTTTTTGGAAGGTTCTCTTTTGAATTTGGCCAAACATGCAGCTTCTACGGTTCAGATTCTTGGAGCAGAAAAGGCACTCTTCAGAGCCCTCAAGTCTAGACGAGATACCCCCAAATACGGTCTCATTTATCATGCTTCACTTGTAGGCCAGACAAGTCCGAAGCACAAAGGAAAGGTGAGTTGCATGTCTTCTGAGGCAGGTGGTTTTTTTCTTTTTTTCCCCCAGATAACTCATCTTCTGCCTGTTCTGTGGTATGCAATAAAATTTTCCTGTTTCTTTTTCATTAAATAGAGAATGATGATTTTTTTTTTTAAGATTTTTATTTATTTGACAGAGATCACAAGTAGGCAGAGAGGCAGGCAGAGAGAGAGGGGGGAAGCAGGCTCCCTGCTGAGCAGAGAGCCTGATGCGGGGCTCGATCCCAGGACCCTGGGATCATGACCTGAGCCGAAGGCAGAGGCTTAACCCACTGAGCCACCCAGGTGCCCCGAGAATGATGAATTCTTGAGCTAAAAAGCACTTTTGTGTACTGAAAGAAAATAATAATTAGTAAGTGTTGCTGGGGGCGCCTGGCTGACTCAGTTAGTAGAGCATGCAGCTCTTGCTTATGGGGTTGTGAGTTCCCAGCCCCACGTTGGGTGTAGAGCTTACTTTAAAAAATATATATATTATTACTATTATTTTTTTTAAGATAAAGTATTACTAATTTTTTTTTTAAGATTTTTATTTATTCATTTGTCAGAGTGAGCACAGGCAGACAGAGTGGCAGGCAGAGGCAGACGGAGAAGCAGGCTCCCACTGAGCAAGGAGCCCGATGTGGGACTCGATCCCAGGACGCTGGGATCATGACCTCAGCTGAAGGCAGCGGCTTAACCAACTGAGCCACCCAGGCGTCCCAAGTGTTACTAATTTTGTTAAAGCCATTTTCCTTTGCTGTATTAGGATTTTTCTAGAATCCACCTGTTTGTGAAGGATGGCGTGGATGGCACATCAAAAGTTTTCTATGTGGCAAGAAATCAACTTAACATCATCATTTATAAATTATGAAATAATAACCATGCACTGTGCTCAACTCTTAGTGGGACTTAAGTGAGTCCTTTTAATAGCCCTGTGAGATGTAGGGTATCTGTTTTACAGATGAAAAAGCTGAGTCTGGGGCACCTGGGTGGCTCAGTGGGTTAAAGCCTCTGCCTTCAGCTCAGGTCATGATCCCAGGGTCCTGGGATCGAGCCCTGCATGGGACTCTCTGCTCCTCGGGGAGCCTGCTTCCCTTCCTGTCTCTCTGCCTGCCTCTCTGCCTACTTGTGATCTCTCTCTGTCAAACAAATAAATAAAATCTTTAAAAAAAAAAAAAAAAAAGAAGAAGAAGAAGAAGAAAAAACTGAGTCTTCGGCACATTTTTTGCTTAGGGCACATAATTTAACAAGTTGAAATGTTAAAAAAAAAACGTGAAATGTTACGAAATTCAGAGCTGATTGATGAAAGGGGCTGAAAAATTGTTAATTAGCTTACAAGGGCAGCTGTGCCTTTTCCAGATGACATCATGGTGTAGAACTAAGGCCACTGAGTAGAAAGTAAAGGAAGACATTAGAAGGGTAGTTTGAGCTTGTGTGAGACACGAACTGCTGCAGGATCATCTCGCCCAGCAAAGTGAACGGAGTTGTGTGTAACCGGCTCGCCACTGAGAGGTCCGGATAAAGCTAGGTGGCTTGGGTTGTGGGAATCGTAATAATTTTATAATTCCGGACTTAAAAGAATCCTCCAATGAGTGATAGAGTTGATGATGTGCCCCAGTTTTCGCATGAGCACGCGGTTGAGGATTTTCGGGTCTCAACTCGGAGTGCGGTCTGAGTGCCTCTCACTTCACGCTCCGTCAGATCTCTCGGATGCTGGCGGCCAAGACTGTTCTGGCTATCCGGTATGACGCTCTTGGCGAGGACTCCAGTTCTGCGATGGGGGTTGAGAACCGAGCCAAATTAGAGGCCAGGCTGAGGACCTTGGAAGATAGAGGGGTAAGGACCATATCGTGCCTGTTGGCAGAAGTGAATAAACTTAAACTGGTTTATGTACTTGTTCATTTCACCTACTAAGCAGCTTAATGATTAATATTACTGTATCTAATTATGTTTTTTTCCCTGCTGTTAAACAGTTACCCTTGTATTTACTAAGAATTGATACCTTTTCTTAGATAAGGAAAATAAGTGGAACGGGAAAAGCATTAGCAAAAACAGAAAAATATGAACATAAAAGGTGAGTACATCTGGGGAGGATGGGTGAGCAATACCTGCTTGATGGAATTTTAATTGACAGCTGCAGTGTTTATAATAAAACGTAAACACTTGAGTGTCTTATTTTTCTTTGCTATTTATAGTTTTCCATATTTTGAATTTTTAATCACATGAACATTTTTATATTGTAATAAATATATACGTAGTGTATATTTTGGTTTTTCTCTTTTTTTCCCTCTTATTTAAGTAATGTCTGTACCCAACATGGGGCTCAAACTCAGAATCCAAAGATCAAGAGTGAGGTGCTCCTTGAACCAAGCCAGCCAGGTGCCCCTTGGCTTTTTTTTCCCTTCTTAATATTTAACAAGTTCATTTTCGGGTGTTGATAGTAAATATTTGTCATTCATAGCTTCTGTATAGTATACCGTCTGTCAAAAAGAAAATCAATTCCATTAATTCACAATGAAACCTAAAGACAAAAGTCTGAAAATAGCTAAAAGGCATAATAGTAAAGTATTCAGACCTCGCCATGAAACA